AATTTCAGAGTAGCACCACTAGGAACTTGCTGATCGGTTTGGAAGGCGGAGCGAAGCGTTTTTGGAAGCGCACTTTTAATTTCGGGCGTATCTTTGTCATCCATCTCCTTTGCATATTCTGCTAGAGGACGAATTACTGCTGCTGTTTTTGTTGTTGTGAGGAATTCCTGCTAACTCTAGAGAGTCTCAAGCTGAAGATAAACAACAACACATATGCATATTCACATACAATAAGAAATCATTAATAACAACTGTACTGTACTAACCCTGGGCTCTCGAGAATAGTGAATAAATGTTTCCTTCGGTGCTCGTATAGCCGACCATGTTGGAAATGTGTATTATTATTTATATCACCTTCATAACCATTTATTAGAATTGAATTGGGCATGCTTTTTTACGTCTTTAGGAATCAAAAACTTATTTTTTCAATTACTTAGTTCACACCGTGCATACCGCTCCATGAGTTTATCGTAGCGCTTTGTCCCGCCTCTACTAAATGGCGAACCGTCCATTCAAACCAGGCGCCATGATCCCATGCGGACCAGCAGATCCTCCCGTTAACGTGCTAGGGCAAAGCATGGTCCTCTATCGCAGTGCTGGTACTATGGGAAAACGATAGTTGTTATTAAATTCGTGAAAGGCAAAGGAAAATTCCATATGAAAATCTATCACGACTTGATCTTGGTGGCGTTCTGTTAACCTTTGTATTCCACGGAAAAAACACAAGTTAGAATTATATAGTATCTCGTTCCAACGTTGGTGCGAGTAAAGGTGGCCTAGGCAGTCCTGTTGTTTGTAATATGTACTGGTATGTAGGAAAACGACATTTTTATGTTGATAGGAAACAATTTACTGAGTGAATAGTTTATTATTATTCGTAAAAAAATCCAATGTGCAATTTTATTGCTCTATTTCATATCTCAGAGGGCGTATCTTTTTCTGCACCCTACGATTTGAGAGTATTCAGCGTGTTGGGTAGTGGAGCATATGGTACTGTTGTGGCCGCTGAGAAAGTGGTCACGCCCCCTTCTGAGGGTAGTCGATCAGAGACCTCTGAACAGGAAGGTAGTAGGAGGCGAGAAAAGCCGGTCGTTAGTTATGTAATTTCCTTCAGACTTGTCAGCGGTGGTGGCGGTTAAAAAGTTCCTCAATCCTCTGTCGCACGTGGTGTATGCTAAAAGGACCCTGAGGGAGATCAGATTCTTACGTCATCTGAGGCATGAGAACATTATTGAGCTTGAATCCATATATGTATCCGGAGCGAGTAATAATAGTGCTATAGTAGTAGTATTGATGGTTGAGCATGTATTGGTTGTAAATACATAACCTTATTATTATATCCAGAATAGTAGTGGTTATAAATTATACAACGTTATTATCACGTTAACGAGTTATTGTAACTTATAGTAGAGTACAGTAGTTGCACTTATAGTACAGCAATACTTATAGTAGTTGATATTGAGTTGTAGAATTGGTAACGTTGATAGTAGTAATAGTTGAGAGATAGCTACAACTGTCTAGACAGAGCTGAATCAAGATATGAGCGTTTCAGAGCTATTCGTTGCACTAGTCCTCGTTGCATTTGGATGTTGATGGTTGTAGTTATCACTTTATTAGGTCAGCATGATTTTGGTGACATCTATGTAGTAACGGACGTGATGGACACTGGTAAATGTCTGGGGGCAAGTTTGTTAGGCTTCAGTCCTTTGAGCAGATCTGGGGTATATCATCCGCTCTGGGCAACCGATTACATTGGCACATATCAAGTTTTTCTTGTACCAAATCTTGAGGGCGGTGAAGTATATTCACTCAGCGGGTAGTAGAGGGGAGCATATGGGGTCGAACTCGGGTCGTTCGCGAGGAAGTGCAGCGGCATAACTACTAGCCCATATGGAGGGTTCTTTTGTTGAAGGTATAATTCATCGGGACATAAAGCCAAAGAACATACTTGTGTCCAAGACGTGCGACCTAAAGATTTGCGACTTTGGATTGGCCCGACTGACGCAGTAATGCTACCGAGGCTTACGAAAATGTTTGCAATGGTCGTTTATGAGGCTCGAAAGCGTTGCCAGGGACAGTGGGAGCTATGACGGAATATGTGTGTACGCGATGGTACAGAGCTCCTGAGGTAGAGGCGATTTCTCAA